AGATGGATTTGTGCGCTATATAAAACTACACTATTATTATTTAATAATATTAAAGATATTTTGCAAATGAAACAGGTACAGTAATACTGGTACAGTATTTATTTATTTATTATAAATTTGGCATGCAATATAAACCAGATGCACAAAATACAAAAACTAAAGTGTGTGGCATTTCAGTATATCTTCAGAAAAAAAATCACTAGATAAATCATTTTAATTTAATTCTTTTGAAATATTTTGGGCTCAATCACTTGCTGCAGAGCTCTGAGCATCACCACCTTCTGCTAACCATGGATTGGACATGTCCATTTCATCATGTCCACACAGATGGGACTGTTTGCATCACATCCATTTGAGCCTGTCATTTGCTCCTATTGAGAAATAAGTATACTTTAGTTACAATAATGCAAAACCAGGTTTGTTAAAAATCAAAAATTTTATCAAACATTGGCATTTGCTGCTATCAATAGCATACCATACTGAGATACTGTTATATATACTAATCTGGAAAGACATTCATCAATTGACAGTATTTTCAGATTTTTTAATTACTTGATTAAAGCCTTCCTGTCTGCTAGTGTGTAATGTATTATTGTTGCTTCTTAATAAAACTGACACACCATGCTGATATTTTTTTTATCATTCCAATATATTTGTTTCATGTACTCTGGCTGAACAGTGATGAGACTGTCTCTTATACACATCTAGATTAGCTTTCATTACAAGTTTCAGCAAACAACCAGAGTGTTTCTTGCTAACGTCTTGGGTGCTTGTATGCTTTGTACCACCTTCTTTCGTAGATGCCAATGTTGGGTGGTTGTACTCATGGCAAATGTTGGGGTATGTTTGTCGCATCATGGCGACTGGCAAATACTGTACCTTTGTGGCCAGAGTGTTATGTTTCGGCATATCACATACAGTATCTTGTCCTACAAAAAAATATATATACTGTATATATTTTATTTGAATTCCACATTTCAACAACAGTTGAAAGTTAGGTTTGGAGTAACATATGCACCATGTTATTATTTAATGGGGCGTTATTGTTGTGTAGCCTAACTTCTAGGCCTACAGTATATCAATAATAATCTTATTGTTACAGGAATTGGTGTTGGCTAGCTGATGATATACTGTAGTGTTATTATAGCACACACCTTTATTTAGACAGTGCAGTTTTTAGACATTTAGGCCTAGGCCTAGACAGTTTTTCATAGGACCAGGCCTATAACTAGGCCTTATAGTATTATTAGTAGGCCTACTAGGGGCCTAGGCCTATTATGACAATTCTAGGCTAGTAGTAGAAACCTACTAACTTTACCGTCAGCTGGATAAAGCTCACCTGCTGCGGGACTGGAGCAGTGTCCTGGTCAGGGTAGACACTGACTGTGCTAATCCTAGGCATAGGCCTAATTATAAACAAACAAGTCATCGGACTGATATACGT